GGATCAAAACCATAATTTGACCGAAAACAAACCATGTATAAGTTGATCACATGCTGAAAAATGACTGAAAAGGAAAGAGAGGTTGCTTTTGGGGGAGTGGCTCAAGAACCCAGAAAAGAAGCAAGAATTAATGAGAATGTTAGGTTGGGAACCCAATGAACAAAGACAAAACAACTGTCCCATGCTCACCGGTAAAATCATATAATATGCATTCCAGTTTAAGGAAATTCTGCAGCGAAATTTAAACACTGTAAGGGTTGGGGGGAGGAGCTCATAAATGCAATGTTACATACATTTCGAGCTCAAAAGGGACAAATTATAGAGAGGAAAAAGTAAACAGAATGGTGCAGTGGCGGGCTCACATTCTCTGTCATTTGTCTTTCTTCAATCACCCTTCATTTTACCACTAACCTTTGTCTCTTTCTCATTCTTTTTACGCCTTTCACTTTGTCTGCACCCCCATGCAATTTAGGGTTTTATTTTTTCTTGGTTTGAAAAAAAGAAGAAGCAGGTTTTCAAAATATCATAAAATATAATAAATCGAAATTTTAAACGTATTCAAACTTATCATTTTTCCAAGATAATAAATTGCATGATAAACTACCTCGAATGTTATTCAACTTTAGGATGTGTGTAGTTTTTAGATGAACTTTAAATTATTTTAATTTTACTATTGAATTTTAGTTCTAGGTTTAGTTAGGGTATTAGATCATTAAATCATTAACATTGTGAAGATTTGGTCATTTATTCCCTTTAAACTTTAGTTTACAAATTGATTTTATCATTAAACTTTAAAATATTTTGATTTTAAACATTGAAATTTAATTTGTGTATTAATTTCGTCCTACTTCCCATGTCGTCACTATCAGTCAACCATTACTCGTCACTAGTTGTCAATCACAACCGTATCGATATTAAAATGTTTGCATTTCACTTTTCTTTTTTATTATTTGATTTTTTTCACGAAATTCATTCAAAATTGATGAAAACCCATTTGAAGGTTCAATGATCTAATGCTATGATATCTTATGACGATCGTCTGGGTGTTGCTATTTTTTAGCTATGTTGCTTGTCTTCTTGAGAGAATGTTTCTCACAATATAAATTTTGGCTTAAGTATACAAAATGTGATCAACTTATGTCATTTTTTTAGTTTAGTGTCTAACGTTTATTTCGTTTCAGTTTGGTGTCTAACGTTTCATTATGTTTCTCAAAATAGATTAAACCGTGACGAACCGTTAAGTTTGGTTGTTAACCCATTAAAAATGTCGCATGACATATTTTTTAATATTAAAAAATTATTTTTGAAAATAAGAATTTAATTTAAATAGATTAATTAAACCAATATAGTGAAGCTCACGCGAGCGGTATAGTCCATCAATGAAAAGGGGTGTTTTCAACGGGTCTGGGTCGGGGAGAACCAGGTGGAGCAGAGAAGAGGAAGCATGACGGGTCCGGAGGGGGTCGAGGAGATGCAGATTGTTGGGTGTAACCAATATAGTAACAACTAGACCGCGATTGAGTAACCAGGAAGGTCGAGGAAAGGGATGACATGGGCAGAGGACGGGAAAGGATAGACACTAATATGTTGGCCGCCGGTGGACATTTTAGACTTTCCGTTGGAAAAACTCTTTCGGATTTCATAGCTTGGCATGGTTTTATGTAACTACTCACTGGTAAGGTAAATGGCACCATTCATTGATTACGTCGTGCCTTTCGAATACGGTCCTGCTTTATGCATTCCATAATCTTAAATTTAAGGATACGCTATCGTTTTTACTCCATTTGGTTTCCTTTGTCATTTTGATTACCAAACTATTATACAAGTGGGTAAGCTTTCAAAGCATTCCATTGTTTGTCAATTTCAATTTCAAGTCCAATGATTAACAACAATAGTTAACCCCTGCAACATATCATCTTTCATCTGAGGAAGAAGAACCCAATTTATCCCGAAAAGAAAATCCCATGTGATAAAGCAGAAGCATTTTAAGCCTCACTCAAGGTTGTCTATTAGCTTCTAATCTTGTGTTGCAGCCTGCGAGTTGAGCTCAGCAAACCTCAGTCCTACACGCATCGAGTGCTTCAAGAACTTCTTAGGGGTTCTTGAATTCAATTTCAGAAAAAGGGTGGGTAAGGGGAAGAGAGGGAAAGACTGCTCGGGGTTAATTCTTTATTTTAATTAATTTTTTATTTTCAGAAATTATTTTTAATATTAAAAAAATATGTAGGCGGCATTTTTAATGGGTTAACGATCAAATTTAACGATCCGTCGTGGTTTGATCAATTTTGAGTAACGAAATAAAACGTTAAACACGAAAAAACGGACATAAGTTAGACACCTTTTGTATACTTAAACATTAAATTTTGGATGAAACACTCAAACTCATTAAATCCAAGAAAATCCTTAAACTAAAAAAAAAACAATATTTTTCATGTTTAATTTAGAATTTTTAAGATACTTTGAGAAAAAAACTAAATTGATAGCATGATATGAGACGATGAGACGAGTTCAGTCTATGTGATCGCAAAAGATGTTAAAGCGAAGATAATTAAATTTAATACATTTTTTTCACGTTAGTATTACATCAACATCAAACTATCACATCATATATTAATGATTTAACGATTTAATATTTTAATTGAACTCTTACTAAAATTAAATGAAATTAAAATTCAATAATTAAATTAATATAAATTCTAAAGTTGATTGATATTTATGATAGTTTAGCTTAAATAACTGTGTAAAGATAATAAATTTTTATATATTTGTATTTTAACCCATATTATATATATATTGAGTTGTATTATCCACATGTTTGAAACCGAGTTTTCCTTGTTTGATGGAGAAATTTGTGACAGCCTTGGTTACGTGAACTCTTGTTTCTTTTTCTTTCTTAGCTTGGGTATTCACTCTTGAAAAGTAATGTTGCTTTGATAATCATTAACGTTATTCATTGGTCGGAGGTTAATGTACACACAGACAAACTTTCTTCATGTTTTTCCCTCTTATATATATATATATATATATATATATTATGCATGACTTGCTTTATTTGATTAGTTATTTGTTAAATTTTTATTGAATTATTTGATTTTTTTAATGTTTAGATTTGGTCCATTTTATGTATAAATTAATGTATATAAGCTCTTTGATGGAAATCTTCTTCATTGAAGTTCTTACCGTTAAGACCATTGTGATCCAAAAGATGGACATGTTTAATTTTGAAGTGTATGTTAGGGATAATAAAATGTCCAATCGAGTTAGACTGTTAGAGTTTTCATTTATTTAAATTTGATCTGAGTATTATATATCTATTTGACATTCGATCTGACTCGTATTTAGAAAATTGCACTTGATTTAAATTTTAGGATAAAAATCTACTATTACCTAATATAAATATAAAAAATAATATTTATTCGGTAAAATATAGATATGATTGAAAAAAATACATAGAAGGATATTATAATTATTGTCACTAATTATATATAGAGAGAGGATAATTATACTATTATCTCATGTCATATCAGAGATTTTTCATTTTATATTTGATTGACCCAATCTAAACTCGAGCGATTTGTATGATTCAAATTTAAAAAAATTATGATTAAAAAACACTAAATGTTGATAAACTATACTTTAATGATCATTCTATCATTAAATTTATAAAAATTATAAAATAGTTCTTAAATTTATTAAACAACTATAAAGTAATTATTAAAATCATAATTCCAACATATCATCTTTTAGTCCCTCAGCCATGCTAAATTTTGAGATTTAATCCTCGTATATTAATTTGAGATATTTGATCCTTCTATTTTTATAACTTGTTATACCAAGTTAATAGAACCGTTAGTTGTTGTTGTTAAAGGTATGATCTTAATTTTTTGTTATTCAATTGTGCTATTGGAATAACATGAAAATCCAATCAACTAAGAATACATTTACATTTTGTGGAATATTTAATATTGTTTCAAAAAATAAATTCATGTCGATACTTTAATGACAACTAACATTATTTATCAATTTAAATTATAGTGATAAATATATGTGACGTCTTTTACTTGAAACTAATGATCGATCAAGCATGTAATATTACGTTCTGTTAACTAAATTAATTCGAACTTAATTAAACCTATAATCATTTGTTAAACATGTCATTTAATCATATAGTTAGGGACCATTTTAAACATTAACCAGCTACGGGATCTATTTAGCATGAAAGCAACCATTTAGCCACAAAACAAACAAATTTGGTCAATTTTTACCAAACAAGAGGTGTCGATATTAAGAGTAAAGATACCAAATAATGACAAATTAAAATAGAGATTAAATCACGAGTTTTAACATAGTAAAAGGACTAAAAGTATAATTAAAATCTTTTCGTTGCTCTCCCGGCTTTCCCCTCGCCTTTGTAGCCTATCTTTTCAATTGCTACTTAATTGGAAGGAAAATTCCAGTTTAAATTAGGATTTTCATCGAAAAAGTAATATTAAAAAAGTCGTATGCTTTGATCAGTGCTGTGCAAGTCTATTATAAGCCAGCTACGGGTAGTCGTACAGACACAGAAAAAAACGAAACAACAAAGGGTGAATTTATGCTATTGGTACCTCTTCTATACTAAAACTTTAAATTAAATCTTTTATCTTAATTTAACATAACTTGCTCCTCCAATTTACATAATATTATTAGCTAGTCCAAACTTTACATGAAAATTTTCAAAAATCTACACCAACAATTTAGATTAACCAATAACATTATTTTAATAGATGTTAAACCAACAATTTAGGAAAGAGAGAAGGTGTCAAAAAAAATTAACCACTAGCTCTAAAAATTGTTCACTTATGTATATAATTTATTAATCTATTAATTCGAATCAAATTTTATAATTATTTATAATGGACATGACACTACTCTATTTTTTTTCCATCCATACTATTATAATTTTTTTTATCTGAAAGATCCCGTGTTTCATCCTCGTGATTAAATTTAAAATTTTAATATAGGGAATATACTAATATCATAATTTGAAACTCAAAAGGCTTATCCCATTAATTAACAACGTTAACTCAGAGTTAGAACTCTAAAAACTAATAAAAAGCTACTTCGTTCTCAAGCCCAGTTACAGAACAATGTCTCCCAAATCTCGGTAAAAACCTCAATGATAATCCTATGATGGTGATGAGAGTTCAACGACAGAAAGCACTGCAACAGCTGTTCCAGATCCTCCGCACCAAACATCTGTCTCTCAACGATCATCTCCACCATTGATGCCCGAAAATCTTTGTACGGATCACTTGAACGTTTCACTACAGCAAAGCTGTCTTTCACTTTGCTCTTATTATCATCAGCATCATTGGTCCCTTCCAACGGTAAAACACCCATGTCGCAGCTCCGATTCTTGGCCCTTCTCCGACGAGCATTGTCACACCTCCGTTCAGAACGTCGCCGGTGGTTCCGACCGGTGAATGACTCGGATGAATCAGACGAGAGGTTTCGAGAAGAGAAAAGAGCCTCGGTTTCATCTTCGCTGCTAAGCCACCACCATCCACTGTGATTACTGTAATAATTATTAGCACTTCCTTGAGAAGATGAGCTGAAAAACGTGGCACTGGTCGACGTATTCTTGCTTTTGAGATGAACCCTTTTGTTTTTCTTCTTCGTTCTGTGTCTCGCCATGCTTTTTTTCTCCTCATAGAAACCAAAGTCTTTACAATCGGAGAAAAGATTCAATGGCGACAAAGGGTTATTACCGGTAGGGCATTTCCGGCCATCAAAACCAAGGGCTGAACCTGAAACAACAAAAGGAGGGTAACGAGCAAACACTTTACGACGTGGCATAGTTTCTCTCTGTGTAATCATGACACAATCACGGTTAATGGCGCTTTGGGTTGATTCATGGCGTTTGGGTTTACAAATGGAAGGGAAAGGTCGAGCCTTTGGTGGTGGTGGCGACGGTGACAGCGATGGTGAAGGGTTGAACAATAGGGCATTGTTGTGGGTTTGAGGTGTGAAAACGGGTTTCTCGATGACGTCGGAGATTTTCCGGGTCCGGCAGGATCCGAACGAGGATCGGAACATGCGAGAGATTCGTAGTTTGAATCGATTTTCCATTTTTGGAGAGCAAAAAATGGAGTGGGAGAGAGAACTTGTGCGTTCTTTGTTTTTTGAAGGAGAGAGTGGCGGTATAATAAACAAGAGAAGACTTGTATAAATACATGTGAAAGCTTAGGGGAGGAGACTTTTTTTTTCTTTTTTTGGGTTAATTAATAATTAGTGATATAAAATATGTTGAATGTTACATCCGTCAACTTATTTTATTATGCTTAATTTTCTAAATTTACAAGTTCAATTTGATCAAGAAATATTTAATTATTTAAAAATCTCACATCATATTTCTTTTTCGAGATATACATATTAATCTCAAGATTTTATCTTTTAATGAGAAGACTTTGAATAATGTTTTATATGATTTACCTTATATTTCGTTAGGTAAGATTTTATGTATTGTCTTAAGTTTTAAGGACATTTTCAATGACAAGTGATATTATTATTCGAACCACTCAAAATATTTTTAAATTATTAAATATATTTTGATATAATTTTTTTACCATTCTAACATATAGTTATGTATTGAATATATATATTTTTAAAATATACTTATAATAAATTGATAAGAAGGCCAGATGAAATTGAATTTGAAGAAGCTTATAGGTTAGGAAAAATGAATTGGGCAGGTAAAATCCCTTGTTTGGGAAATGAATTCAAGGTATGGTATGGTTAAGATTATAGTAATTATCAAACCAACCATATTTTACTGCAGGAGAGTAATATGTACCAAACTATTGAACAAAATTAATTAAAGGGTAAACTACAATTAAGGGCACATAACTATGTTCAAATTATTATTTTGGTCATTAGATGTTCAAAAATTATAGAATGATTATAAAATTTATCAAATTATTACACAGTGGTCACTACAACAATATAATAAGAATAAAAATTTGATACATTTAATATGTTTAAAAATTTTAATAATTAAAACGACCATTTAAATATAACTCAATGACTTTTTTGATGTAATTTACCCTGTATTAATTGTGGTATTATTTAAAACTCAGAATCTGGTATTCTAAGAATAATCATCCGAAGGTTAAAGGAAATGGGGCCTGTGTTGCTTAGGAAGATAATGCCAGAGAAAGTTACTTGTTGGTTGTTCATGATTGGCTAATTGATTATTTTTAATTTTTAATTTGGGTAATGTATATATTTAAAAGTTATACCTTACTCCAAAAAAATTATATATTTTATAAAATTAAATTAAAATCCATCAAATTTAGATAATATACTCATTTTTAATTAGCTCGGCTTTATATTAGTTTTTTTTTATTTAAGAAAATCATCCCATTATCAGTAGCCTTCAAATTTAGGTGGTATGGGTACCACTCAAATATAGTATAATAATTGTGGGAAAAAACTTAATTTTGGGGCCCTCGAAATTTGAAATGTGCGGCAAAAGACTTGATTGCCCACTCAAGATAATCCACTTATTAGCATTCTCCTACACAAAATCTTTCATGTAATTAATATCGAAATTCCTTTGTTTAAAAAATAATTCTCTTAGCTCTAATTTAAGTGTAGGATATAAACATCAAAAATTCAAATTTCATGGGCTAAAAACATAGAGATGGCAATAGAATTGTCCTAAATTTTCAGTTTTTTTAATTCGATTTGATAATATTATCAAAAAAATTAATTTGATATGATTTAAGTTTAAAAACATTTTATTTTGTGTTTGTATTTATCGTTTCCCAAAATATTATTCAGAAATTCAATCTTAATTCAACCTAACCTAATTTTTTTATTTTTTTAATATTTTTGTTAAAACAAAAAATAATCAAATAAAATATTACTTTTTTTCAATTTATAACATAAAACCAAAATATAATTTAATTTAATTTCACACTTTTAATATATTATAGGCTATTTTTACACATATTTTTAATAGAAACTTAATTAATAATGTATAAATATATAATATGTATTTTAAATTATTTTTATAATAGGATAGAACATGTTGTCCTTAAATCTGAACCTGGCATGATTAATATAAAGAAAAAACTTGCTCTAAAATCTAAATTATATATAAATCGATCCTATCAATCGAGTTAGATCAAAATTCATTAGATGTGACTTTTTCCACTCCCTATTTAAATATTATGTTTACTTTCACATCCATTGTTTAAATATTTTCTTAAACTAAACTAAAATAAATAATTCAAAAACCCCTCCTATGATATATTACGCAGTTCTTTTCCACTAGAAATGGACCAAATGGTGTTGCTAAAGGGTCTTCTTTTGAATCCCCATAAAAAATGCTTTAAAAATTATACCTATAAATATGTGGTCCATGAATGAGCTATGGAAATTGAGATATTGGCCCTATTCCCTAAGCTATATATATATACACCTACTCCTTGCAAATAACTTCATGATATGGTGCTATTAATGTTGGTAGATGGATTAAAGTAAATATTATCGATTATAAGTTGATTCTATGAGATGATACGTTAATTTTTTAGTTAAGTGTTTGAATTTTAACGATCTGAATGTAGAAATTTCGATTGGGAGGATTATCCAATAAGAAGCATTTACAATATTATATTCGAATTAGTCAACAGTAAATTGGATTCTAATAATTATGCTAAAAAGGTTAAACCTTAATATTTTACATTCAAAATTGAAAAGATAATAATAAAAAAAATAATTGGATTAGTATTGTAATAAAACCATATTGCAACAACCAAAACTATTAATTATGAAGTATTTCCAATATATATATATACCTACCTCCTTCACATTTACACAATTTTATATATACATACATACACAATATTATTATATCTACCAAAACTATCAAGTACAATTGCCTTGCCTGCATAACAATATAACCCTAAATTTCAAATGAATTTGGTTGCGGATCTTAACGGTATACTTTATAGTGACTCAAATTAAAAAAAAATTAAAATTTTAAACATTTAATTAAAATTTTCATATTGATTTATTGTATTCAGAATATCAGAATTTAAATCCTTAGGTGGCGTTTGGTTCACTGGAATGTTTCCGAGGGAATTAGAATCTGTTAAGGAATTGAAATCTGTCAGGAATTGGAATCTGAATCTGAAACCTGTTTGGTTGGCAGAAAATTGAATTGGAATCCAATTCCATATTATGTTTGGTTCGTAGACATGTCAGATGAATTTGATTTCAGTAATGTAAAATGATAGAATTGCCCTTCTTCTTTTTTGCTTAATTTTAGTTTATGTTATAACTTACATGTAGCAATATATTATAAAAATTTTAAAAATATTGAATTTTCATTTTATTGATTGATTATTCATTTCAATAAATTATAAAAATCATGCTGATAAACATCATGCGTTAAAATCATCCCAATCAAAATATGTTAATAAGTTACTAAAAGATAGAACAATATTTTGATACATCTCAATCGAAGTATGTCAATTAGTTACCAAAAAATATATAAAAAACTTACAAGTCAAGGAAGGGTTAAAACCATTGAATTGCCCTTTTGGTACTACGTAATTTCCAGTTGTCTTTAATTAAGAAGATTGCAACTTTAAATTAAAAGGTAAAAATAACGATCTCAATCACTTACCCTGATGGATTTGAAAGTGTTCCCTTAAAAGAGTCGAGAAGCATGTTAGAAAAAAAAAGTAATGAAGATAAATAAACTAAAGAAAAATAAAATAAAGGAAATGAAAATAAGAAAATAAGATAAACAAAAGACAAAAAAATAAAGATAAAAAAACTAAATAAAATAAAGAACATAAAAAATGAAGAAAAATAAAGATAACAAGTAAAATAAAATAAAAAATAAGAATAAAATAAAGGAAAATACAAATAATTGTATATACATAATAAATGAAAAAATGAAAAAACAAGAGGAAAAAACAAATGAAAATAAATATATAAATAAAACTAATATTAAAAAATTAAAAAAAGAAAAGAAAAAAAATAAAAGTAAAGAAAACAACAAATAAAATAAGAAAAATAAAAAGTAAATATATGGAAAATAATGATGAGGGTAGTATGGTCAAATTTCACATTCCATCATCAAAAGGATTTTAATTTCCTTGTGTTTTTTTTTTGAAATAGGGTACTTTGTATTAAAAGAAAACAAAGTACACCACCTCAAGGACCTCATTAAAAAACTTCTCTAATCCTAATTGGAGGAAAAAGAGTGAGCTTTGGGGTGGAAGAGGATAACACACATGAAATACGAACATTAAACAATCCAAGCTCCTCCATACTACTTAACGGAGCCGATTCACTATTGACGAACATATACAACAAAGACTAGAAATGGAGAAGACGCATACAAACATAACCAAAAAAGTTTAGCCCGAACCACAACCAAAACAGCAGCATCTTCCTGAAAAAAGCAAAGCCAAGAAATAGACCGCCTGCTAACTTCCAACAAAGCCACTCTCTTAGTTTCACTGAAGTACACGGCAAGCATGAGTGGCCTCCAAGAGCTAGGTGAATAATCTCCGAACTGGAAGTAGTAAACTCCAAACCAAGCATGATGACCAAAGGAAAACCAAAAACAAACCACACCTAATAATTAACAAACGAACTAAACACTAGCACTGTAGAATAAGGAAGCATGAACCGAAACCAGTGGAACAATTAACAATTAAAGATAATTGATTCTAGGGTTCGCACAAAATCTACAACGTGAGGAACCAAAGATGGCCATAGAAAGTTTGACCAGAAACCAACCTGCAGAAGGACCAAATTGAAAATCCGATCGACTGAGAAAATGTCACCCTGAAATAAAGACTTATTTCTGCACAACCAGATCTGCCAAATCAGTCCGAAGAATCCGATAAACCATAGATTCCTAACTTTCCTACTAATAAACTGGGTCGACCAAATTTCTAAAAGTTGTTTAATGTTCCTGGGGACAATGGCAGAAACGTTCCATAAATTACACCACTTTTGCCACACTTGCCAAACGAAAAAACAATGGCAGATTGCATGGTTAACATCTTCATGGTTATCTTTACAAAAAATACAATAAAGCTGGACATTGCCATTTACCCCTCTCTTAATCAGTTCCGTCGCAACCGGCAA